ATCTTCTCCGCACCTGTCCCGAAACTGTTACATCTTCTCCCTACTGTCCCGAGACTGTTACATCTTCTCCGCACCTGTCCCGAAACTGTTACATCTTCTCCGCAACTGTCCCGAAACTGTTACATCTTCTCCGCAACTGTCCCGAGACTGTTACATCTTCTCAGCAACTGTCCCGAAACTGTTACATCTTCTCCCTACTGTCCCGAGACTGTTACATCTTCTCCGCACCTGTCCCGAAACTGTTACATCTTCTCCGCAACTGTCCCGAAACTGTTACATCTTCTCCGCAACTGTCCCGAAACTGTTATATTTTCTCGAACGAGTTTCCTCAAGTGATCATTTTTGTTATCTTCTAAAGTTTGATAGACTTGGTAACAGTATTTCAAAAACAAAAAACTATATACAATTCAGTTATACTCGTTCTACTCTTTTGAGACTCTTACAGTGATTATATCAAGTGCTCTATATATTAAAGACTAAGTCTTAGTGATACCTGCTGGTCCTACGGGACCCATCGGTCCTCGGGGTCCTGGAGTCCCTGGAATACCTAGAAAATATAAGATAAGAAACCTGTTCAATATTTTCCTGTAGAGAAAAAAACTGTTTAGTTAATTAAACGTGGTCTTATGATTAATATACCATAGGAAGACACTACAATAAAGCGAGAACCACCTATAGCAATGAAATATGTAGTTGGGTCAATATAAAGATCTTTCTCACTCAGATACAACACGGCTTTGTTCTTTTTACGCACTACAATCATTATTCATTCTTCTGAGCTTCATTTATCTACAGGTTTTCTACCTTAAACAGCCCACTTATCTCTGGCACGCTACGGGTAGCAGTGCTGGAGAGATAGATGACGTGCGGGGAAGATCGACAGAAAGAGACGACTGTGAAAATAGATAGTTTTATTGTAACGTCATTAAAGATAAATAGGCCATTTCTAATCCCCAAACTAAGCGCTTCTCTAGCGATATACGGTAATTTACCACGAAGGATGTTGCTAGAGTGAAAACAAAAAAATCTATACTTTCACATAAATTAATGCTTACTTGTACTAGGTTCACGTGCAAGGCGTATTAATTAATTTCTACACGAGATTACTAAAAAAAAAAAAATTAAAAACAGTCCTGCAAAATCTCTTCATAAATGTGTGACAAATGACTAAGTGACATAAAACTGCTTTAAAAATAAGTTTCTCTGATCGAATCCAATTTAAAGGAAATGAAAGTTCATTACGTCACACCATAAGATATTTGAGAAAGAGTTAGTGGAAAGATCGGTGTTCAAAATTCAATTTTTCACACAACTGAAAATATGTTTCTTGTTATTTCAAGTGTAGAAAATGTAACACTTTTAATGATGAACGCAGTCTGTATAAATTACACGATAAATTTCTAAACACCCTGCCTCGTCTGAAGTATGCATTGAATGTTCGTGTCTCACAGTCACTTTGTGTATTAGTCTTTATATGGGAAATGGGTTTTACTTGGCGAAATTGTATGTTTCTTTTTCCAGTCTTAATGTTCAAAATGCGTGTTAGTTCATCATTTTGGTGTTAGAAAGCGTTTTATTCTGTTGGTACATTAAGGATGTTTCTGTTGATGGTTTGTCGTTATCATAGAAATGTTATTTGTTGTTGATATCTTTGGAGACCTAATGTTCATAGTTGAATAAGCATATTGATATTTCGATTTCGTGCAGTTTTGGCCCTCTTATTTTGATTTTGCACGTTTTTATACTTGAAAGTGTATTGGTATTTCGTTTTTTGCGCGTGTGTTTCAGTAACGTGTTTTTATACTTGAAAGTGTATTGGTATTTCGTTTTTTGCGCGTGTGTTTCAGTAACGTGTTTTTATACTTGAAAGTGTATTGGTATTTCGTTTTTTTTGCGCGTGTGTTTCGGTAACGTGTTTTTATAAATATTTTAACTGGTATTTCGTGGAAGGTTGTACAGTGTTTCCGTAGCATGTATTAGTATCTTATATTTTATTTTACAAAGGTTAAGGTTTTTTATAAGATCAGCAACGAAAATGAAAGTACAAGTCTTCACGAACATTTGGTGGTTTCTTTAAAAACGTAAAAGAAATATCCTTTGATAGATTGTTTAGGCAGAGTATTCATGATGAAACTTTGTAGAATGGACGGCAACTGACTGTTGTAGAGACAGGAGTGTAGAGGACGACGTTTCGAAAGTTGTCAGTCTTTCGTCTTCGGGTCAGTGTGTGTAAGGTGTAATATGTTGTATTTGTACTATTATAACACGATTGTTTGTTTTTGAATTTCGCGCAAAGCTACACGAGGGCTATCTGCGCTAGCCGTCTCTAATTTACCAGTGTAAAACTAGAGGGAGGGCAGCTAGTCATCACCACCCACCGCCAACTCTTGGGCTACTCTTTTTCCAACGAATAGTGGGATTGACCGGGACATTATAACGCCCCCCACGGCTGAAAGGGCGAGCATGTTTGGTGGGACGGGGATTCGAACCCGCGACCCGCAGTTTGCGAGTCGAGCACCCTAACCACCTGGCCATATAACACGGAGAAACAGGATTTCTGTTTAGAAGCTTTTACCACCAAAGAAGCTTGAACATGCGCATAATGCAGGTGATGATTTAATCAACTTCTGGCTTTAGTTTATTGGAATGACTTTCATGGAATAAAGTTCAAATGGGATCCACATAAAAAAGGTATAAAACACTACTTTTTATCCCAATATTTGTAACCGTGCTCTTTAATGAGGAGATAACGAGCGTATTTAACGAACCTGCATGAAACTCCTAGGAAGCTTGTAAAAAATCTGATTTGGTATTGGATATTTACAATCTCAGCGGCACCTTACTCAACATATGGTCGAACAGCTAGATGTCAGACCCCAAGGTTCAAATATAGCCGTCCATATTTCAAAATTGCTGACCAGAAGGAGGGTATCTAGTCTGCAGGACCCGTCGCCTACATGGCTACTCACAAACAAACAGCAGAACTGGCTTCACTTTTATAACGCGCTCATTGCTGAAAGTGCAGGGCGCATTCAGCGGGATATCGCAGATTCGAACCTTGGACCTTACAATCTGCATCCCACCATTCTAACTTATAGACAGTGCCCGGCCCTGACGTGAGATAAAACGTATGTGAAGTGTGTGAATATGTGATAATAAATAAGTTACAACCAAAAGCAAGCAGGGTAGGAGAAACTGAATGTTTTATTTTGTAGACAACTTTAATAAAAACCAATGATAAACAACTTACAGTTTGATGTGTAAAAGATAGGCCAACCTTTGTTAGTGTAAAGATGATTTCAGTTCAGCAATCAATACATTTTCTCGTGTGTACAATTACAATACGTCATCAGCTATACTTAATGTACTAAAATCGTCACTAGAAGTCTTACAATTACATACAGAGAACGCTTGTTCTGCAAAACTGGTACACACCCCCTGGTTTATTCAGTACATCCCCACTACCAAGAGCAAGAAATTATGTACATCTGTGCACAGCAAAGAGACACTTGAATTTATACATTACGAACATATTAGGATTGTCGATCCATATACAGTAACAATGACGTCAGAGTTTTCCTTTTTTTTTGTCAAACTTGGTATAATAGGGGTGGTAAACTTATCGAGCGAACCACGTATGAGTTTATGTAATTTTTTCTTTGCATATTAGGATTGTCGATCCATATTCGGTAACAATAACGTCAGAGTTTTCCTTTCTTGTCAAACTTGGTATAACAGGGGTGGCGAATTTCGAATGTTTTTATAATTTTTACGATATTTGGATTCATTTTTTCTTGACTTGTTAATTTTCAGTACGTAAGAAATCTTTGTTATTTATAATCTTATAACCTTGACAGGCAAAACATTTCACGGGATTTTATTCAAATATGGTAAGAACAAAGCTATCAATGTGCATACGAACCCTAAAACGTTCGTTTGCGGTAAAATTCACACCTTTCCCTCGTTGGGGTCTTTCGGGAGGACAGCGGTTAGCCTAGGGAATTACAACGCTAAAATCTGGGGTTTGATTACTCGCGGAGAACAAGGCAGATTGCCCAATGTAGCTTTGTTCTAAAACGGGCCCGGCATGGCCAAGTGGTTAGGGCGCTCGACTCGCAATCCGAGAGTCGCGGGTTCGAATACCGTCCTACCAAATATGCTCGCTCTTTCAGCCTTGGGGGTGTTATAATGTGACGGTTAATCCCATTATTCGTTGGTAAATGAGTAGCCCAAGAGTTGGCGGTGGGTGGTGTTGACTTCTCTCTAGTCTTACATTGCTAAATTAGGGACGGCTGGCGCAGATAGCTCTCGTGTAGCTTTGCGCGAAATTCAAAACAAACAAACAATTGTTCTAAAACAACTAAAACCAAATCCACACCAAGGTCATTTGGACTTTACGAAGTAAGATCAGTGGTAAAGTTGATATAATGACGCCTGGAAAGATACGTGACATAACTGAGTGTAAAATCCCAGAATATAAAAAGTAGAGCATATCTTCAAATTCGATTATCATGCATTTTCAAGTCAATCTGCTGAACTATATGTACATCTTCAGTTTTAAAGGTAGAATTCTAGAAATGAGAGGGTCATTCCTTGTGTATTAATATAGATTTAAATGTCCCGGCTGCACCAAGGAGAACCAAGGTTCTTATATTGTTTGTTGTTAAGCCGAGCGCTAATTAAAGGGTTATCTGTGTTCTGCTAACCGAGGATATCAAAACCCAATTTTTAGCATTATAAGCTCTCACACTTACCGCTGAGCCACCGTCTTTTTTGTGTATGTAATTGTTTGGTTTGTAGCAATGATTGTGGTATATTTAGTGTATTAAGTAGTGCAGATTAAGTTGTTGATAAGAGAAAGTTTCACACGTGCTCCCCCAGTGACACAGAGGTATGTCTGCGGACTTACAACGCTAGAAACCGGGTTTCGATACCCATGGTGGGCATAGCACAAATAGTCCATTGTGTAGCTTTGTGCTTAACTACAAACAAACCTTCGCACGTCAAACGTTGTTTTAAGAGTGTACTATTAGTTTTTCTTTGGTCAATTTATAATTGACAGCTTCTATGTTGTTCCTTAAGTTTCTATCTCAATGCTAAATAAGGCCCAACAAAGAAACCGAAACGTTCTTCTATTCAGCCAAAAAAGGCACGAGCAGTCAACATCAGGCACGTTACAGAAAGACAGGAGAGAATTTATCCAAATGATTATTTTACTTTAAGATATTTCACTTGGTAAAAACACTCGTTCAAAAACCGTTCTTATCTATTTCGGACTTTGTGTGTTTCTTCGTGAATTTTACTTGCTAATCTGTAGATGATAATTAATTGCTCTAATATGCCAAAGCTTTTGAAATATGATCCATTTTAGAATACTGTGAGAAACGGCCATTATAACATGACTGACAATATTTTTTCAAGTATTCCCCCAATGCAGATGAAGCTTTCTGCTCAACACCAGAGTTCATCAGGACAGATAAGATACAACATCTAAAGCCTTAGTTGAAATGATATTTATATCATGTGATATACATATAGAGATATGAAGGACAGTTTAAACTAAAGCTTTGGGTATTTTTGGGACTCTTCAGTTCTGGTGGTGAGCGAAAAGATTCGTTATCGGTGACCCACAACAAAATGAGGTTGAAATACCATAATATATTTTTCTCACCGGAGAGAGAATATTCTGGGTCAACTAAGGATGAAGTTATTCAAAAGAGGTTATCAGTAATATAGTTATGTTACACGATTGACTGGGTTCACAACGAGTGTTATCCATCATATTCAATAGGATTTTTCTCGCTCTATATAACGATATTTTCACATCGAAATTATTAGCCTGGGTAAAGATTACGTTTCTTACTAACGATTTAACTCTTCAGTATCAGAGGCTTGAAAGTAATTCTAAAAGTTTATTCACCCCAATGAAAAGCATTTTAACTTTACGATTATTCAATTAGCTTTGTTAATTTTACGACTTGGTTTGATTGTTTTTAAGCGTTGTTTGTGCTCTGCCCACCACAGGTATCGAAACTCGAATTTCAGAGTCGTAAAACTGCAGACTTATCGCTTAGCCACTGAGGGGCAATTATTTTTATTAATAATTCATTTAATTATTCATAAAACTACCAAGTTATTTAGACAAATGTATGATGTTTAGTATTAAGTTCAATGTAAGTCTTGTTAAAAATATTGTAAATAGTGTAAAAATTGGTCGCTATAAAGTTGCTAGATATATCTTACCATTTGTACCATTAAGTCCCGGCCTTCCTGGTGTTCCAGGAATACCTGGAACTCCGTCATTCCCAGGAATTCCATCAATGCCATCACGACCAGGAACACCATCCAGCCCTGGTTCTCCAGGAAGTCCATCGCGTCCATCAAGGCCGGGTGTTCCACCTAGGCCTGGATTCCCTGGACAACAACATTGAAATATTTTGAATTTATCTTGATGAATATGGTTGGGGTACACTTACAAATATTATCATCTTGACGTTGTGAAAAAAGGAGCTTCTTCATATTGTCTAATTTCCGTTAAAAATGTCCTGTAAATTGATTTAAAGTTTGAGATTGAAAGATTATTTGTTAAGAAATCAATTCTGGCTTCATTATGAAATTTTCTTTCTTATTATTTATTCAGAAAATAGTGTATACTATGTTGCTATAAAGCTATAATTCTCAGACACGTATAGTTTTAATGATATTTAGTGTTATATTACATATTAATCAAAATATATACAAAAAATCTCATATCAAAATATCACATATGTATTTAATCTTCTGTAACCTAATACTTTTATCTAAATACTACATATGTATTTAATCTACTGTAACCTAATACTTTTATCTAAATACTACATATGTATTTAATCTACTGTAACCTAATACTTTTATCTAAATATTACACATGTATTTAATCTACTGTAACCTAATACTTTTATCTAAATACTACATATGTATTTAATCTACTGTAACCTAATACTTTTATCTAAATATTACATATGTATTTAATCTACTGTAACCTAATACTTTTATCTAAATATTACATATGTATCTAATCTACTATATTCTAATACTTTTATCTAAATACTACATATGTATTTAATCTACTGTAACCTAATACTTTTATCTAAATATTACATATGTATTTAATCTACTGTAACCTAATACTTTTATCTAAATATTACATATGTATTTAATCTACTGTAACCTAATACTTTTAACTAAATACTACATATGTATTTAATCTACTGTAACCTAATACTTTTAACTAACTACTACATATGTATTTAATCTACTGTAACCTAATACTTTTAACTAAATACTACATATGTATTTAATCTACTGTAACCTAATACTTTTAACTAAATACTACATATGTATTTAATCTACTGTAACCTAATACTTTACCGCAATTTTTGACGAGTGACCCAAAAGTTTGGATATATAACTTTAACCACAAGGAGTTATAGCTGGTTATAGTTGATACTTTTTATTATTATTTTTTACTTTTTTCCTTACAACTCATTTAATTTCAGTGAATATCATTAACTGTATACTGGTTAAAATTGTACCTTTAGGACCGACGGGTCCAAGGGCACCTGTTAGACCTCGAGGTCCTGGAGGACCTGGTTTTCCAGAAAATCCACGCTCACCAGTATCTCCTTTTTGTCCTTTATGTCCTGGGGAACCTAATAACAGAAAATTAAATCATAAGTTGCATACTTTAATATTAACATAATTTTTATTTATTAACGATAATTTAAGGTTTTCAAAAATTAATTATTCCACAATGGTAGTCTATCTATAGAGTTGGCACCTAGTGGCTCAGCAGGCTTACGACGCTAAAAATCGGGTTTCGATACTCTTGGTAAGAAAAGTACAGAAAACCTATTGTGTAACTTTGCGCTTAACAACAACAAACAAAATATATAAAGTTCTGACCGTCTGTGACTTTTTACGTAAAACCCATTTGATTCTATATTATAAGATTCAGGAACATTTAGAATTTCAGGTAGATTTAAGTGATTATTAAGAATTAAGTCCAATAATTACTAGCTTAGAGTCGAGTCCTCATATACGAAACAACGAATATTTAAGGATTGTTCAGGATTCCATGTAACAACGGGAAATGAGAATAACCAACAAACATCCCAGAGTCGATAAAACTGAGAGATACATAGAGTTTGGGATTTGTCAAGGAAACTGTAGATTCCATCTTTATACAGATGGCTCTAAGCTCTTTGATACCCTTCACTACTTTTTATTTTTTCCTAGTCTACTGAAGCACGAAATTTTTCCAATCTCGAGTCGTTCAATCAATTTTGCAATTCTGTGGGAAGAAACGTACTCTCAATGGAAGCTAGGATAACGGAAAGTTTATTAAATTTCTTTCTTGTTCAAAGTTAAGAAGAAAACCAGAAAGTCAATATAAGCATGAGGTGATTCCAAACTTTACAGAATTCTTAGATAGTATACGGATTTTTATTCTTAAACCTTGTAAGACAGCGCTTCTTAGGGAAATTACTTTGATATTTCGAGATACGAAAACATGCTGTAAGAAACTACAGAATATAAGAAAAAAAAGGTCTGTTCTTAGAAACGAACCCATAAGGTACAATGATAGCATAGTTGAGAAAAGCGTAAACTATAGATAAAATAAATATTCTAATCGTAGAACAAGAACTGAACATAAAATAAAGATACTGGCGGTAAAATACAAATTATTTGTAAAATGATCATTACATTTTAGATTGAATAAAATAAGGATATAAACTACTTGTAAAAATTAATTTAGTTTTACCATAGATAGAATAGCGATAATGTTGGTGTATTATAGAATACTTGTAAACGTCATTATTTGGGAACGTGATTAACAGCTGGCTGTTGAAAAGAAATCATACTGTATATGAAGTGAGAAAACAACAATAAAGAATATATATATACTACTATCACATTAGAAATTATATTGTTACTGGATTAAGGTATTAAAATGATGTGAAAAAAGAATACTGAAATGTAATTTAAATTTAATGATATTGTTGGTTGAACATAAATACTACTTAAAATAATTAATATTAGTAAATAATAATGATATTCTTAATAGTCTAGAGTTATAGAATAATATAGTTCATTTTAATATTAAAAGTATGATATTTGTTAGAACAGAAGGGAAGTGAAATATATTGTTTGTATTTTTGGAAGTCAATAATACATTATTAGATTGAATTTGGATTCGAAGCTATCTGTAACACAGTTATGGAAAGTCATATATTTTTTTTTTACAACGATGATTATGTTCCACAAACAAGTAGTGAAGATTGTATTTTTCCAGCGATAATACTTTATCTGTTTCCTCGGCTTTCCAACAAAGGTCCTACAGCGATGTTTCCATGAAATTAGGCTTTAACAAAGAGCAGTCATAGTAATGTTTCCTCACTTCTCTAGTGCAACTTTCTATATACTGGCCAATGTTTTAGGTTTATGAATTTTAAGCGCATGCCTAAGCATACTAAAGGTACAAAAGTTGGTTGGGGTTGCATTGAGGGACCTACAGGTATATGTGGCTGACATCCGTGGTTCCAGTATCTTTAGCCATCTTTCTCATAAACTTTGTCGTTGATTTTGTGGAGCTAGAAGCTTGTAAGTATTTTTATTGTAAATATTCGTCAACTTCAATTCCTTGTTTATTATTCTTCAATAATATCGCGAGATATGTCCAACTTCATTACAATTGCTTTATGGTTGGAGGGTTCTCGTTCGTAACTATAGCCAACATCTTGTGGATACTGTTTCCAACGTTCAATTGTAAAAAAAATAAATTCGTTTCATGAAGAAAACTAAATATTACATTTTCCGAAATATTATATGTGTCTTTTGGCTTTACGTAATTTAAGAAGTTCTCTATATGAATATTTATTTTGGGAAAAAGCGGTCACATACTCCCTCTAGCTAACAATCAAATTTTAGAACATTTTAGAAGTCTATTCTGTGTACTTTGCTTTTTCCTGCGGGAGGATGTGTGTGTGTCTATCACGTGAACATATTAGGTCCAAAGTAAAGTTAACTTACACTCGTTATCATAATCTGTAAATGACCGTATGTAAATAGTTACTAGATAAAAACGAAAACAGAAAAAGGACATATGCAGTAAAAGAAAGTTGTGAAGGAAATATATTACAAGTGGAGTATTATCATGCAACTGTTAGAGTTAAACTTAGCTTAATTGGATTATATTGTTCCAAGAATATAAATACGGTTTTGTTGGTAGAATATAAGCTGGTTGTTAAAACACTTATTGTCAGTAGACAATATCTAATTGTTAGAAACATTTAATTATTGTTAGAAAATGTTCTAATCTTACAGTATTCTTCTAGGTCATAATACAATATCAGTATTGCTACCACAGTAGACATAAGTACTAGAAAAAAAAATTGGTGGAATAAGGACTAGCTAATAAAAGATTAGTGTTATCAACAGTTTAAGACTAGCAGTAAAATATTATTCCCTTAATCAAATAAAATAGTAATATTTTTCATAGAATAAGACAAAATTACAAAATTATATTCTTAATGAAATTAAATATTAATGCTATTATTAAATTTTGTTTGTTTGTTTGTTTTAAAGAAAAGCCACAATGGTCTATCTGCTGTTTTCAGCACGGGGAATCGAACTCGGGATTTGAGCGTTGTAATTCTGTAAACTTACTGCTGTCCCACAGAAGAAAGTTTTCGTTAATATAAAAAACAAGCAAACTGTAAAATATATTGTCACTAGAAATTATTATAGAGTTTGTAAAGCCAGCCAAATGTATGTTTTGTAAACCCAGAATAGTCGAATCTCAGTGTGATTGTAACCCAGCCGAACTGAAGAGCTGAGTCTCAGTGTGATTGTAAACCCAGCCGACCTGAAGAGCCGAGTCTCAGTGTGATTGTAAATCCAGCCGACCTGAAGAGCCGAATCTCAGTGTGATTGTAACCCAGCCGACCTGAAGAGCTGAGTCTCAGTGTGATTGTAAATCCAGCCGACCTGAAGAGCCGAGTCTCAGTGTGATTGTAAACCCAGCCGGACCTGAAGAGCCGAGTCTTAGTGTGATTGTAAACCCAGCTGACCTGAAGCGCCGAGTTTCTCATTGGTGAAGAGAGGCGTCAGAATGAATGGACATACACAACTTATTGGTGAAGAGAGGTGTCAGAATGAATGGACATACACATCTTATTGGTGAAGAGAGGTGTCAGCATGAATGGACATACACATCTTATTGGTGAAGAGAGGTGTCAGAATGAATGGACATTCACATCTTATTGGTGAAGAGAGATGTCAGAATGAATGGAAATACACATCTTATTGGTGAAGGGAGGTGTCAGAATGAATGGACATATACAACTTATTGGTGAAGAGAGGTGTCAGAATGAATGGACATATATATCTTATTGGTGAAGGGAGGTGTCAGAATGAATGGACATACACAACTTATTGGTGAAGAGAGGTGTCAGAATGAATAGACATACACAACTTATTGGTGGAGGGAGGTGTCAGAATGAATGGACATACACATCTTATTGGTGAAGGGAGGTGTCAGAATGAATGGACATATATATCTTATTGGTGAAGAGAGGTGTCAGAATGAATGGACATATACAACTTATTGGTGAAGAGAGGTGTCAGAATGAATGGACATATATATCTTATTGGTGAAGGGAGGTGTCAGAATGAATGGACATACACAACTTATTGGTGAAGAGAGGTGTCAGAATGAATAGACATACACAACTTATTGGTGAAGGGAGGTGTCAGAATGAATGGACATACACAACCTATTGGTGAAGAGAGGTGTCAGAATGAATAGACATACACATATATATCTTATTTGCTTGTAATGTTCAAATTATTGATTGCGGATATATTGACGTTTAAAAAAACTCAATCACACAACCTTTTGTGGGTGTAACCGAACCATAAGTGTTTCTGATTGAAACAATTTTCAATGTCGTATCGCCAGGAATGTTATGGAGGAAGAAACCACTTGAAGAAAACTTGCTCTCTGCCCCAGCATCTAGTCTGAGTTACAACAGTACAACGTTAAGTGGGCACCCGACCAGCCATGTGAAAAAATTCGATATTTATTGCATGGATAAAAATGTTTTGTTATTTCTACGTTTGTGTCCCTTATTATATTTTCATTTTCGCCAGAGTTCATTCTATATCTTCGGAACTTACATTTTGCTGATAATTGAGCTTATTTGTTGGACATCAACCTGAATACCAGAGACCTTCTCAAAAAATTCTGCAACACTACAATATGTAATAAAAAATAACGAGCATTGACCACTAAACATTATATTGCGCGTAATAATTTTGGTGACAATAAAAAAACTGTCATAAAAATGAATTATATTAAAGTAAGAATCTTAATTTAACTTCATGAGAGTTATGTTGCCACTTAAGTAAAAACAATTCGGCAATATATTTGAAACTAGCTGAAATATATCGTCGTTTACGAACAGTATAACCTAATTTTACTATACAAATCGCCTATGACGTATTGTGTGTATCAAATGGGTTGAAAGCCTCATATTGGAGAATTTCAAGTACAAGATGTAAAGGGCTATGAAAATCTTTCTTAATGCAAAAAAACAACAACTTAAAACGTGGTGAGTCCTCAAAATGTGCTCATAAAATACTGTTGTTTCGAAATTCATGTCACATAAAAACAATTCAAAACCTAAGCCTATTTAAAACACTATTTTTATTTTATAGAATTCGCTGCTATCGATCACGATTAAAGGTAAAGTTCAATGTGAACTTTTGTAAACTCCTATCTTAAAATACACACGATACAAGCGCGATCGTTCAGCGTCTGACAAGTGCATAGCTTGCTTGGCTTCGGTGCAATCGATAACACCATTTACCAGCTAAATATGATTTGCACATCCCCTAGAAATAAAAATGACAGTGCAGCATTCAGAAAAGTACCAAAACGATTTATGACTTATAGGTTCCACAAACTCGACTATTAAAATCCCTTGACGACAAGGAATACTGAATTTAAAATCGTAAAACGATTTCTCTCCAAGCAAGGGTGTTAAATGTCTCACCCACGAAAGCTGTTATCGAAGGTGCAAAGGGCGCTTTGTGATATAGATTTTACTTAACGATCGACATTCACAGCTATTTGGACATCCACGCAAAATGCAAATGCATAAGGAAAGGGGCTGAAAGGAAAGTGCGAAATCTCAGCTATATTGCTGAAATAGAATCCCATTTGTGTGCGTATAATTTTACAGGAAATGACATTCTAATATATGCTTAAATATTCAACCCGTTCAAGAGAAACTACTCGTACGCACAAAGCACAAATGTCACCCTTCACTGATAAGATATTTCTCATGTTAGTCGCAGTAGCTCTGTGAGTAGAACGACTAGCGCTGTTTGCTTGTTTCATTCATCCATGATCACTACAGTCGATAAATGTTTTAATTAACGAGTTTGCAATGAAAAATTTAATGGCATACAGATGTTATACTTTTGGAACTTAAGGGGAGGTTTGTCACCTAATTTTTTTTAAAGGCCATTAGTTAACTTTCAGATATGGACCAAGTGTACTTAATACCACTGAGGTTTATTAATTTTGTTTTGTTTGCGCTGATGCTTTAGAAACTGTACTGTTTGTTATAATACTTGTATCTCGAAAAAATTGAAACATTTTAGACAAAGACGTTCACAATCCGATTAGATTTCTGTATCAAAATAGGGTATAAGATTTTAACAGTGTATATGTTTACGCAACCAGTTGGCTCCAGAGTATTTTTGTATCGATATTGAAGTTTACCTAGATGAAATAAAAAAATAGCCCCAAGATTTCAATTCAAAGGTAAAAAAACATCTTTTGTTAGCCCATCTGAATTCACTTTTTGCATTCATTCAATATTCAATAACTGTATTGTTGTAAAACACATCTGTGATACGTGGTGAGTATTTACAGACTATACAAGTGATGTAACGGTACACAATCACAGCTAGCTTTAACAATGTCCACGAGTGATGTCACGGTACACAATCATAGCTAGTTTTAACAATGTCTACGAGTGATGTCACGGTACCCAATCACAGCTAGCTTTAACAATGTATACGAGTGATGTCACGGTACACAAGCACAGCTAGCTTTAACAATGTATACGAGTGATGTCACGGTACACAAGCACAGCTAACTTTAACAATGTATACGAGTGATGTCACGGTACACAATCATAGCTAGCTTTAACAATGTATACGAGTGATGTCACGGTACACAATCACAGTTAGCTTTAACAATGTATACGAGTGATGTCACGGTACACAATCACAGCTAGCTTTAACAATGTCTACGAGTGATGTCACGGTACACAATCACAGCTAGCTTTAACAATGTCTACGAGTGATGTCACGGTACACAATCACAGCCAGCTTTAACAATGTATACGAGTGATGTCACGGTACACAATCACAGTTAGCTTTAACAATGTCTACGAGTGATGTCACGGTACACAATCACAGCTGTCTTTTAGAGTGTTTATGACAGTTACAGTTTGCTAGTAAGTTAAGTACCATTAAAATCACTCTCCCATGACAATAGTCAAATAATGATTGTGTATTTTATCAAGCCGAGAGGTTTCTATAGTTGTAATTTTTTAAATATTGTTGTCGCTCATATTTACAGTTTTGTAAGGATGCTGGATGCCAACAGTTTAATTTTCTTTAACTAACAATAACGATTTTGTAATGTTACGCTTAGTTCTTTTTTTTCTTTATAAATCTAGTATTATGTTTATATTGTCACAAATCAGCTTTTGTACTTTTGATAACTTATTTTTTACATTCGCAGTTGGAAATATATTTTCTTCGTATGTCAGCGTTTTTTCTAGGTTAAATGGCCTACTACAGAGTTGTAAGTAAGTAGTCTTTGTAAACGTTTTTGTTTTTATGTATTTCTAGATAGTGTTTGGCGTTGACGCTTTGGGTCACTCAGAAAGCTGAGCACATCCGTGAATGATATACAATCAGTAAGACCTAGTGCTTCGAAAAATATTTCTGAACTTTAAATAATTTACTACATAAGCTTATATACGTTAATTAGAGTATATAACTTGAACAATAAGGAGCTTTAATTTTGTTGTTCACAGCGCCACTCAACAGAGAACGTAATCTAAAACTCTACGGATTACAATTCAGTGACAGTCAGCGTTGAAACGTAAGCCAATGGAATAAAATATATCAAAGATATAGGGAAAATGTCATTTCTAAACTAGCTTTCCTTCAGATTAATGGAACATGGACCTATTTCAGCGGATATTCGCTCTCGTGCCTTTCTAGATTATATTTACTGTTGAAAATCCATATTATTCTCCGTACCTACTACACTCGACTAACGTATAATAATAGCGTTGCATTAGCGTTGATTACATATTCCGTTCCTCGAGGTGGGCGACGTTTTCTCTTTCACAGTATATCCACAAGTTTACAACAGCTTATTCAAGTGTCTAAAACAGTATAGTCACAGGTTTAAAACAGTATAGTCACAGGTTTAAAACAGTATATTAACGTGTTTAAAACAGCATATTAACGTGTCTAAAGCAGTATAGTCACATGTTTAAAACAGTATATTAACGTGTTTAAAACAGCATATTAACGTGTCTAAAGCAGTATAGTCACATGTTTAAAACAGTATATTCACATGTTTAAAACAGTTTATTAACGTGTTTAAAATAGTATATTCACGTGTTTAAAACAGCATATTAACGTGTCTAAAGCAGTATAGTCACAGGTTTAAAACAGTATATTAACGTGTTTAAAACAGCATATTAACGTGTCTAAAGCAGTATAGTCACATGTTTAAAACAGTATATTAACGTGTTTAAAACAGCATATTAACGTGTCTAAAGCAGTATAGTCACAGGTTTAAAACAGTATATTAACGTGTTTAAAACAGCATATTGTGAATATACTCTTTTAAACACGTGAATATACTATTTTAAACACGTGAATATACTCTTTTAAACACGTGTGTTTAAAAGAGTATATTCACGTGTTTAAAATAGTATATTCACGTGTTTAAAAGAGTATATTCACGTGGTTAAAACAGCATATTCACGTGTTTAAAACAGTATATTCACGTGTTTAAAATAGTATATTCACCTGTTTAAAATAGCATATTCACATGTTTAAAACAGCTTATTCACGTGTCTAAAACAGTGTATTCACGTGTTTAATAGAAGAACATCAAGTAACTAAAACAGTATAACTCTGCCTTTTGGGTCTGGAATGCCCGACGGTTTTACTAACTCTAACAATGAGTTTAAAGCGTAAACCATATCAGATAATATCAAATCTAGACAATATAATTGTTCAGTAGTGAGACATGATGGTTTAAAAACAAAACAATGGGTCTAAGCTAAAGCATTTTCTAAAAGTGGTAATATTGCTCAGAGTTATGCTATCAAAACATTACGACATCATTTACTAAAAAAATAAAGAAAATATTTAGAGATTGAGTTATAATACTGAAGGAATACTGTTTTAATAATGAGTTACAATTTTTAACGAGAAGATATATTATTTTAAAGTAATTTCCAATACATTTAGGGTCATTTTGAATGAACGAAATGTCAAAAACAACAATAAACTTTACAATTTTATAATGTAAGAATGATATATAATGTCTTAAAACAATCAACTTATATATATCAAAATGCACGAGACAGACTAAAAATGTTATAATGTAAGAATGAGATATGATGTCTTAAAACAATCAAATTATATTTCAAATGCACGAGATGGCGTTTACAGAGTAAGAAGTAATGTTTAAAAAGTAATATGAATAAGTAGTTGCTACTAACCAGGAATTCCAGGGGGTCCTGGGTCCCCAGGAGGACAGTGCTCTTTTGTTGACTGGCAGTAATCTCTCAAAACTGGCACCTGTAAACGATGCAATAAAACATTTTTTTTTTTGTAAACGCTCATGAAACTTCAGAAAATTTATTAGTTTAAATATCTGAAAAAAAAATTCGTGAGTTTTTAAACAAAGAAAAAGTTGGTTTATGTAAAAATCGTTATGGTATTATTTCCCATACAGCAGGTTTCTAAGCAACACGTCATGATGTTATTTTCCATACAGCAGGTTTCTAAGCAACACGTCATGGGGTTATTTCCCATACAGCAGGTTTCTAAGCAACACGTCTTGGCGTTATTTCCCATACAGCATGTTTCTAAGCAACACGCCATGCTGTTACACCTTATACAGATTTAGTAGCTTATTGAAGATCATTTACTTTCTTACTAACCAATTTCCACTCATACACACTTGAAGAACAAATATTGGTGTAGGATGGTAATATCAGAAAAAATAAATTGATGTACGAGAGAGAACACATCGTCAATGTACTGATCAACCAATCTTCTTGTGCTGTTCAACTCGTGTTCTAACGTTATATATAATACTCAACGTATATATATATATGTGGCTTCTACGTTATATATGATACGCAACGTATAGCAATATGTGAGTTATATGTTACATATGATACTCAACGTATAGTTATATATAATACTCAATGTATATTTATATGTAGGTTCTACGTTATATATAATACTCGCCGTATGTAGGTTATACGTTATATGTAATACTCAACGTATAGTTATATCTAGGTTCTACGTTATACATAATACTCAACGTATATATATATATGGCTTCTACGTTATATATGATACGCAACGTATAGCAATATTTGTGTTATATGTTATATATGATACTCAACGTATAGTTATATATAATACTCAACGTATAGTTATATGTAGGTTCTACGTTATATATAATACTCGACGTATGTAGGTTATACGTTATACATAATACTCAACGTATAGCAATATGTGAGTTATATGTTATATATGATACTCAACGTATAGTTATATATAGGTTCTACGTTATATATAATACTCGACGTATGTAGGTTATATCTAACGTATAGTTATATCTAGGTTCTACATTATACATAATATTCAAAGTATAGTTATATCTAGGTTCTACGTTATAAATAATACTCAACGTATAGTTATATGTAGGTTCTACGTTATATATGATACTCAGCATATAGTTATATGTAGGCTCTACGTTATGTATGATACAAAGCATATGGTTATATGTCCGATTTAAGTTTTATATGATAGCGTATAGTTATATGCAGGTTCTGCTTCATACAGTTAATAACATTGTTCGGTTTATAGTGTCATACGATATTGCGTAAGTTTTTTGTACGGTAAAAAAAAAGCTGTACTGTTATCACGTAGTTTGGTGGTGTGAATGTTGATATACGTGCATAATTATTCTTACGTGCTATTTCACAGGAAACAATAACATATTTTACTGAATATCTTCTATTCTACGAGCTACCTCATCTATCAATCTTGGATTTGTTTGTCTATTGTAAAACACAAAGCTACACAGTGCTACCTATGCTCTACCGTATTATAAGCCCTGCGTTAAATATCTAAGTTTGAGTTTTAACTTGGTGTATTTTCTTCTCTGTATTGATAGACAGATAAAGGCAACATAATAACAAACAGGGAAAGCACAACTAGTTAGGTATACTCCATGATATAAAGAACGAGGTCTGAATGGGTGTGATTCCAACAAACACGACCATAATTGTTGACAGAATGACAATTTTCCTCCTTAGATGTGTAATTCTAGAATATGAATGGGATGTGAATTCATAAGCACGATGGAAGTTACGTATACGTGTATGTACAAACTGAAAGAAAGAAAACCAGTTGGTTCGTTGTTAAGCGCAAAGCTCAAAATTGGGCTGTCTGTGATCGGGTCTCGAAATCTGTCTTTTACAGTTACGAGCCTTCAGAGTTACTGCTAATCACTGGATAGATGGAAGGGAAAAATGGCACTTTCATCAGGATAACAACATTTATGGTAATCATAAAACCTACGTTATTTACATGTATATAATTAAGCATACACTTTTATGAAATATGGCTTCTTAATATTGCAACTTAATATTTAATAATTTTAATGTTTTTATTCTAACATACAACTATTAATCCTACTCAAATATTATGTTTATAAAGGGTCATGTTTTATGATGATGTTAATATAGGGTCGTGTTTTACGATGATGTTTTTAACGGATAATGATTTACGATGATGTTTATAAAAGGAAGTGTTTTATAATGATGTTTATAAAGGGTAATGTTTTATAATGATGTTTATAAAGGGTCGTATTTTACGATGATGTTTATAAAGGATAGTGTTTTACGATGATGTTTATAAAGGATAGTGTTTTATAATGATATTTATAAAGGGTAATATTTTATAATGATGTTTATAAAGGGTAATGTTTTATAATGATATTTATAAAGGGTAATATTTTATAATGATGTTTATAAAGGGTAATGTTTTATAATGATGTTCATAAAGGATAATGATTTATGATGATGTTTATAAAGGGTCGTGTTTTATAATGATATTTATAAAGGGTTGTATTTTACGATGATATTTATAAAGGGTTGTATTTTACGATGATGTTTATAAAGGGTTGTATTTTACAATGATGTTTATAAAGGGTTGTATTTTACGATGATGTTTATAAAGGGTTGTATTTTACGATGATGTTTATAAATGGTAATGTTTTATAATGATCTAAATAAAGAGCCTTGTTTTATGCTTCTGAACTTACTTATATAGTTTCAAGCATATTATTTTTCAAACGTGTACAAGTAACTATCCGATCAAAGCTAAGCATGAAGAGTAGAAATACAGTTGTTGTTGTTTATGTGTTTAGAAATATATATAAACACGTTACACGACATTATATTACTTGAGAGGAAACACAAATTGCACATGTACCACAAATATGACGGGACGTGAGGTTTTATACTGTAATTTTCAATTAACAATTTTTAATAATATGATCTTAAATATTTCAAGAAAAGGTTTTGAAACAATATAGTGTATTCAACAAAACAATAAAGAAAAAAGTAGAAATAGCAGTAGTATTACAATAAGATTTGTTTTTATGGAAAAGCTTAGTATTATAGGGGGTGATCTTATTGACGTTTATAAGCTTACTCAAGAGACTGGCAACATAAAGGCCTAAGAATTATTTGTGTTAAATTCTGAAGATAATAATGCAAGAGGACACAGTCTTAAGACTTGTAAAAAAAAGCGGGGTAAGCTCCAACTAAGGCAATTTTGTTTTACTAACAGTGTAATTGACTTATAGAATGAGTTGACATCAGCAGTAGTGGAGGCTGGCACTTTACAGTAGTTTAAGAGGGGAATGTCTGAGCTTCCGAATATAAAAGGGTGGTTTAGATTTTTGTTTTCTTAATGTCCCTGAGCAATGATAAACTTTAACGAACAAAACTGTCCCTCGTTGTCTGTACGTTATATCATATTAAGTAATGCCAACAAACCTACATTTATTACCATACAAAACGAATTATACGCGTAATTTTAATAAGACATACTTTTTAATAACCGATATTCTGCACGTGATAAAGCCAGGTAAACAGTCACATGTTGTAGGTTAGTTAATTATTCAAGTAAAAAGTCACATGTTGTAGGTTAGTCAACTAGTCAAGCAAACAGTCACTTCTTGTAGATTAGTTAATAAGTCAGGTAATCAGTCACATGTTGTAGGTTAGTTAATTAGTCAAATAAACAGTCACATGTTATAGGTTAGTTAATAATTCAAGTAAACGGTCACTTCTTGTAGATTAGTTATTAAGTCAGATAAACAGTCACATGTTGTAGGTTAGTTAATTAGTCAGATGAACAGTCACATGTTGTAGGTTAGTCAATAAGTCAAGTAAACAGTCACATGTTGTAGGTTAGTTAATTAGTCAGGTAAACAGTCACATGTTGTAGGTTAGTTAATTAGTCAGATGAACAGTTACATGTTGTAGGTTAGTTAATTAGTCAAGCAAACAGTCACATGTTGTAGATTAGTTAATTAGTCAGATGAACAGTCACATGTTGTAGGTTAGTTAATTAGTCAAGTAAATAGTTACATGTTATAGGTTAGTTAATTAGTCAAGTAAACCGTCACATGTTGTAGGTTAGTTAATTAGTCAGATGAACAGTCACATGTTGTAGGTTAGTTAATTAGTCAGATGAACAGTCACATGTTGTAGGTTAGTTAATTAGTCAGATGAACAGTCACATGTTGTAGGTTAGTCAATAAGTCAAGTAAACAGTCACATGTTGTAGGTTAACGTTAATTAGTAAGTAAAAAGTCACATGTTGAAGGTTAGTTAATTAGTCAAGCAAACAGTCACATGTTATAGGTTAGTTAATTAGTCAAATAAACAGTCACTTTTTGTAGGTTCGTTAATTAGTAAGTAAAAAGTCACATGTTGAAGGTTAGTTAATTAGTAAGTAAACATTCACATGTTTAACCAGACACAAGTCTGAAGATCAACAAATAAGAGGAAGTTAATCAAATTTTCAAAGTCAACAATAAATTACTCAAAACAGTCCATCCTTTTCCGAAACAAAACTAAACAAGTTAAACAGTGTTATAACATAAATATGTCCAAAATAATTTTGAAAAAAAAAAATCCGAGATGAGTTAGCTCTCTCGAGATCAGGAAAGGGGTTTCAGAAAATAAGAATTTTTAGAGATACTTCGTTTCGTGACAGGCTTTTATCAAAGTTGCCAAAATGTATACAGAGAGCCTCGGGTATTAAAGTCACCACCGTCAATCCTGTCATCTCGAATCTAAGGAGTATCCGACATATCCATACTCTGAATAATGTCTGAATGCCATCTTCTCCATCTCATTCCATTTAGATAAAGTTCAAGTTCTTAAGTTTTTTTTTTCAGAGAGTATGAAGCTAAATATATCTATAGTGTACTAAATACCCTTTTCTCGTTATATTTCGATATATATATATATATATAGCTT